AGATATTGATTTAATATTGCAGCTCCGCTACAGCCCTTTCTACAAAATAGCAATGTTTTACATAGTAGGGCTAAAATGAAGAGACCACTGCACCTGGACCACTTCAATGAGATCCCATTGTACAGCGCTACGGAATCTGATGGAGCTATATAAATAAATAATAATAATGAAATGGTTTGGGTGACTTTAGTGCCCCTTTAAACTACCCATACCATTGTGTAAAGTGATACAGAGAGTTCTGTACAGCATATGGTGGAAATTAACTGCCATCTACTGGTAAAACTTGGTCCCTGCAGTACAGACTCACTTTAATTGTATTGAATTATATTCTGAAATTAAAGGGGTCCTGTCATGTTTGGCTTGTTTTTTCTTTCAGTTTTCCTTTACTCATGCCCCCTGTATCTTACAGATTATACTCCCCCCTGCTCCCCCCTTGCTGATTGCCTTTATTTAAACTTATTATCTTTTCTTCCTTGTGCCTGATCTTTAATATCTGGGCGCCTCCATTTTGTTCTGCTCTTATAGAAATTGGAAATCCTCTCTCCTCCATCTCAGACACATGTTCTGCCGTTTGTGAACATCATGTCAGTTTAGGTTGTGCCATCAGATCTATTATAATTTGTGCACACCGTGTCTATTCCACTTTGTGTGTACCATGTTTATCCCAGTTTGTGTGTACTGTATCTAGCTCAGTTTGTGTGTACCTTATCTATTCCAGTTTGTGTGTACTGTATCTAGCTCAGTTTGTGTGTACCTTATCTATTCCAGTTTGTGTGTACTGTATCTAGCTCAGTTTGTGTGTACTGTATCTATTCCAGTTTGTGTGTACTGTATCTAGCTCAGTTTGTGTGTACTGTATCTATTCCAGTTTGTGTTTACTGTATCTATTCCAGTTTGTGTGTACTGTATCTAGCTCAGTTTGTGTGTACCGTATCTATTCCAGTTTGTGTGTACTGTATCTAGCTCAGTTTGTGTGTACCTTATCTATTCCAGTTTGTGTGTACTGTATCTAGCT